CGTTATAACCCGGTTGGTGGACATGGAGAGTCCACATAGGGGAGTTGGAAAACCCTGATTCCAAACCAATGGTGCACATGGGCACCAGTATCCTGAAGGAACAAATGGCATATGAACCAATCGTTGGTCACCGGCTACCATGGGACTGCATCTCCTCACGATGCTCCACTGCCTTGTGGATCAGACCTTCAGGTCGAAGGCTCCGGGTGTGGCCCCCTAAAGAATCCACCTGCTTCAGTCTGGGCACACGGACAGTATCACAGCCCTCACACAAATCGAATGATTTATGTGCCGCATATGTATTTGATGCCTCCTTGTACCAATGTTTATGTGTTTAAATAAATAAATAATAATCTGCAATTCAATCATAGAGAAATGCTCAAGAAAGGACCTCACCATTCTGATGGGAGATCTAAATGCCAAGGTCGGAACAGACAACACTGGATATGAAGATATTATGGGACGACATGGACTGGGAGAGAGGAACGAAAATGGAGAAAGATTTGCAAATTTGTGTGCATTCAACAAATTAGTCATAGGAGGCACAATATTTCCACACAAACGTATACACAAGGCTACATGGATCTCACCGGACCACACTACAGAGAACCAGATAGACCATATTTGCATCAACAAAAAATTCCGAAGGACAATGGAAGATGTGAGAACCAGGAGAGGAGCTGACGTAGCTTCAGATCACCACCTAGTTGTAGCCAATTTAAAACTGAAGCTAAAAAAGAACTGGACAAGTGGACAAACAGCACTACAAAGGTTCAATACAGCCTTCCTTCGAGATACTGACAAACTCAATGAATTCAAGATAGCTCTCAACAACAGGTTCCAAGCCTTTCAAGATCTACTGAAGGAAGAAGAAACTACCATGGAGGACAACTGGAAAGGCATCAAAGAAACATTGACTTCAACGTGTCAAGAGGTTCTGGGCCTAAAGAAACACCATCATAAGGAATGGATCTCTATAGAAACACTGGACAAGATCAAAGAAAGGAAGAACAAGAAGACAGCAATTAACAACAGCCGAACACGAGCAGAGAAAGTCCAAGCACAAGCTGAATACATAGAAGCAAACAAGCAAGTGAAGAGGAGCATTAGAGCCGACAGGAAGAAATACGTGGAAGAATTAGCAACGACGGCAGAAAAAGCTGCTAGAGAAGGAAATATGAAACAGCTTTACGATACAACGAAGAAACTATCAGGGAAATACAGTAAACCAGAGAGGCCGGTCAAAGACAAAGAAGGCAAGCCAATCACTGAAATTCAACAACAGATGGGTAGAGTACTTCGAGGAACTCCTGAATAGGCCGGCTCCAATGAATCCACCGAACATCGAAGCAGCACACACAGATCTTCCTATAGATGTCAACCCACCAACGACGGAAGAAATTAGAATGGCCGTCAGACAAATCAAGAACGGGAAAGCAGCAGGACCCGACAACATACCAGCTGAAGCACTGAAATCAGACGTCGAAGTAACCACAAGCATGCTTTACCCTCTATTCAAAAAGATTTGGGAGGAGGAACAAGTGCCAATGGACTGGAAAGAAGGACACCTCATCAAGATTCCAAAGAAAGGAGATCTGAGCAAATGTGAAAACTACAGAGGCATCACACTACTGTCAATACCAGGGAAAGTCTTCAACAGAGTGTTGCTGAACCGGATGAAGGATGCAGTAGATGCCCAACTTCGAGATCAACAAGCTGGATTCCGAAAGGATCGGTCGTGCACAGACCAAATTGCAACACTACGGATCATCGTCGAACAATCAGTTGAGTGGAACTCGTCACTGTACATCAACTTCATTGATTATGAAAAGGCATTCGACAGTGTAGATAGGAGGACATTATGGAAACTTCTTCGACATTACGGAGTTCCTGAGAAGATTGTCAATATTATCCGGAACTCATACGACGGACTACAGTGCAAAGTAGTGCATGGAGGACAGCTGACAGATGCATTCCAAGTAAGGACCGGAGTCAGACAAGGCTGTTTACTCTCTCCCTTCCTCTTTCTTCTGGTGGTCGACTGGATTATGAAGACCTCGACATCTGAAGGAAAACATGGAATACAATGGACAGCTCAGAATCAATTAGACGATTTGGACTTCGCAGATGACCTAGCCCTCCTATCACGTACACACGAACAGATGCAGATGAAGACAGCCAGTGTAGCAGCAGTCTCTGCATCAGTAGGCCTCAGCATACACAAAGGGAAAACTAAGGTCCTCAAATTCAAAGCGGAGAACAGCAATCCAATCACTCTTGATGGCGAAACTCTGGAAGATGTAGAATCCTTCACATATCTGGGAAGCATCGTCGATAGACATGGAGGTTCAGATGCAGACGTAAAGGCGAGGATTGGCAAAGCAAGGGCCGCATTCCTACAATTGAAGAACATATGGAACTCAAAACAACTTTCAACCAATATCAAAGTGAGAATCTTCAATACGAACGTCAAGGCAGTTCTACTGTATGGAGCTGAAACTTGGAGAACTACAACAACCACAATCAAGAAAGTACAAGTATTTATAAATAGCTGTCTACGCAAGATACTCAACATCCATTGGCCGGATACCATCAGCAATAGCCTTCTGTGGGAGAGAACAACCAACTTCCAGCTAAAGAGGAAATTGGGAAAAGACGATGGAAATTGATAGGACATACATTACGCAAATCGTCAAACTGCATCACGAGGCAAGCCCTAACTTGGAATCCTGAAGGGAAGCGGAAAAGAGGAAGGCCAAAGAACACATTACGTCGGATAATAGAAGCAGATATGAAAAGGATGAATTACAACTGGAAGGAGCTGGAAAGTATTGCCCAGGACAGGGTTGGATGGAGAATGCTGGTGAGCGACCTATGCTCCTTCACGAGGAGTAACAGGTGTAAGTAAGTAAGTAAGTAAGTAATCTGCAATTACGTAATGATAAATGTTGTACTCTCTTATTCTAGTGATTAATGAAATTTTTATTGTCTTTCTAAGTAAAATTATCAGCATCAACTCTGAAAAATGAATTAGAACTTAAGAAGAATCTTAAAAGAAAGATGAATAATATTCAAGACAATGTGATATTGCAACCAACTGATGAAGAGATGACTAGATCCAGTTAAGTATTATTCGTATAAAACTTATTATCAAACCTATATTCAATTAATTTATCTGCGACAATATAATTGAACTAAGTAAACCGAATCATAACCTCATGGGATAAAGATCTCAATTGTGTAACGCACATCTTCATTATCACTGTCAACAAAAACATGAATAAGGAATTTCCTTGGTGTTTTTTAAAAAAATTTCAATTATCAATAGGGAGGTAATGAAATCACGATCCGATCTAAGCTAAAAAATCATTTTTATTTATTTTATTTTAACACATAGATATTAGTACAAGGAGGCACCAAATACATATGCGCCACACAAAACTCATTCGGTATGTGTGAGGGCTGTGATACTGTCCGGGTGCCCAGACCGAAGCAGGTGGATTCTTTAGGGGGCCACACCCGGAGCCTTCGACCTGAAGGTCTGATCCACAAGGCAGTGGAGCATCGTGAGGAGATGCAGTCCCATGGTAGCCGGTGACCAACGATTGACTCATACGCCATTTGTTCCTTCAGGATACTGGAGCCCATGTGCACCATTGGTTTGGGATCCGGTTAAAGTGTCGGACACTCACTTTTCGTCCTCTCAATTTCGTAAACAATACCCCCACCACGAGAAGGCAGTCAGTAGGACTTTCCTGACAGAGGCTATATTCGTGTGGCCATGTGAGAGCATTTGGAGAGAGAGAGTGGACTCTCTTCACTCTCGACCGTACCAGGGCATTTGGGGGCTGGTTCATTCTAGTATGGTACTCCTGAATGGTGTACACCTACGATTCTGAAACTGGAGACCAAACTCAAGACTTTCGGTCCCGAGAAAGAACGCTTAATAATAATTTCACATTTAGAATCAGAACAACTATATTTCACCATATGATAGTAGCCTACACTGAAATACGAAATTATTTCATCATATTCGCGACTTGTCAGCTCCATCGCTAAGTCAATGTGTTTACATAGATAAACTCAGTCTAAAGCCAAAAATCTTGAGCATCACAGCATATCTATTGTCCACAAGAATTAGAATTTATAACAGCAACCAACGTTCCAAACTAGTATGATCTTTGGTAATAAAAACCCTTAGATCTATGAACTACCTTTCTGTACCAATCAGATTCAATACTAATCTACTAAAAATCAATCAACCAATCAGATTCTCAAACCAATGATAACCATTAAAAAAACAAGTATAAGTCGGGGAGACCTCACATGCACTGGTACGACCAAGTATAGGGGAAGTCCGCTCTCCCTTTTGAAACGCGTATATAGTCACTATCAGGGAAATCCTATTGACTACAATCTCACAGTGGGGGGGGGTGTTGCTTATGAGATTTAGAGGACGAAAAGCGAATGTCCGGTGCTTGAACCGGTTTAGTGGGTACGGAGTATCCATCTAGGGGAATTGGAAAACTCTGATTCGTGAAGAAAACTGTATGTGAGATCTATAATCCTAAGATAACAAACGATGTATGAACCTATTCTTGATTTTTGGCTGACATGGAAGCGCATCTCCTAACGTTGCTCCATTACCTTGTGGATTAGATTTTGAGGTCAAAGAATCAGAGAGTGGCCTACTAAGAAAAACCTGCTTCGATTTGTGTACCCAGACAGTATCCCAGCCCATACAGAAATGTAATGATTAATTGTGTGGCCCATATATATTGTAATGCCCCTTTGTACAAATGTTTATGTGCTTAATTGGATAAATATATATTAGTAGAATGGGGATTTGTGGGAATTGAGGAAACACATTGCTAAGGTGTCCCATACTATGACAAAATGGCCGTTTAGTGCTTCTAGGTTTTCGATAATGGTCAAGCCTACATCGACTCATGAATTTAACTATTATAATAAATAATCGTTAACAAAAAGGTGTTTTTTTACAATTCCACAGTTAATTTTATTATATGCACTTATACACACATAGAATAAGAACTAAATATTGAATGTGGAAATTAAAACGAAACAAACTTCCAAACAAAAACTTTCGACAGATAAGTTGAACAATTGTAACATGTGAATATCATCTAAGATGATTATTGCAACTACATTTTGAAGTGAAAACGAATGAAGAAATTGTATAGTTACACATAAATAATAGAAAAAACAATAAGAGCCTAGTAGAAAATTTTTTTAAAACAAAAACTTAAAAGTAACTATGCAATACACACACGCATATATATATATATACTTCCCTATGTATAGACAGTAACATTGGCGCATATAAATTATACACAAATAAGGAATGTTATCGCTTCAATTGACACTGGAGAACATAATAAAAGATTTACTTGACTTGTTGATAACAGAAAAGAAAATATAATAAGAATAGTGAAGAACTGACTAGTTTTAAAGTCCACCGGAACGTTGACCACTTGTATCACCTATTACATGTTTTATATATAAACGATTTAATTGTTCTAAAAAGATAAATGTCAATACTGTGTGAGGTCCAATACGTAGAAAATATGGTGTAAAACCTTTCCATAGTGATAGAATACCTTCATTTCGTACTACTCGTAAAATAACATCCTAGAATAGAAGAAAATAATGTTATATAAATAAAAAAATGAAGAACTATGTTAAAAGTACAAAACTTGTTTTAATCATTTTTCATAAAAGTCATATTGTCAGTTAGCCATAAGCAAAGTAGAACCTGATAAATATGTGCATAGAATTAGTAACATTATCAGTAGTAGTGGTAGAAAATATATGCTATAGACAATATGATTACAATAATCGCATGAACTCTTACTAAATAGTAGTCTGCAGGTACCAATATAGTTTGGATCAATAGTTAATGACTTCATAGACTAACACTATAACTTAGTTTGTTTCATACTTTCCGTTAATAACTCAACAATCCCCCAGTAGAAATGGGAAGTAGTGTACTATGGTGGATTAATTTCAGGATAAGTAAGAAACAAATATCTGTTAATGACATTTGCTTAAAGATGTTTGTATAACATACATAGAACACAAAAATGAATCGTAAAGAATAATACACATTCATAAAATATCAGGAAACGTTTACAGTTTCGCATACTAAGTTATTGGTTAAATCAACTTTTCAAACATTGATACGTCATTTTAGCTTCTTATATTAATCGAAAGTGAAGTGCGGTTTGAACTATTCACGAAATAGTAAAGAGATACTTTATCTGAACACATTCAGGGGAATTATACTTAATCATTCATCTTCTCATTCATTGCGAGGTTAAGAAAGTAATACTTAACATAAGGCTGGAGGAACACCACAACCGAGCCGATAATGAGTAATTTCTTTGTTAGTATCTGCAAGATCCTCGTTTGAAATCAACTGATAAAAGTAGGCTTTAGGAAATCAAAAAGAATGACAAAAACCAATTATCGGGGCATAAACACCGATATTTCATAGATGTTGCTTAAATCACTCAATAATATTATTAATATATAGTAAATCAAAGATCAACTAGACAACTTAGAAGGCAAGAGAAAAGGAAAGATGATAAAGAAAACACGGTGAAATACACGAAGCTGGTCAATAAATCAATATTGCCATGGTCTACTTTGACAACGTTTAGGGTGATAAAAATTGGTATTAAACATGAAAAGACGGTTTGAAGTTTCGTATCTTTAAGGCCTCAGTAAACTTTAGTTTATGGAACTCTCCAATAATTTACTTGAAAATTCAATCTAAAATATGTCTTTACAGGTGGTACGTGGATAGTATTATAATCTTAGGAGACGAATATGAAGATGAAAACCACCTGTTGAAGAAATTCAACACACTTCTCCATGAGAAGAGGATGTGAATAACCAGCCTTCGTTTTTAAACATACTAATTAGTAGGAAAGTGGATGGTTGCATCAAAAATTCGATATATAGAAAGTATGTATAGACAGAGCAATATCTTAGTTTACATAGTCATCGTCTAGTCCAGTACGAACACGAGCTAATAAAGAGTTTATTTATTAGGACCAATCATATTTGTACTAACAACACCATTAAAGAATGTGTATTCACTAAAGCTCATAAGCCCATAGAAAGGAAAGAATATGATGAGAACCGCTATGCTTTTAATACATAAAAAACCTGTCTATATCACCCTATCATTACCAAAATAGCCTCACGTTGAAACGAAGACTTAAATTAGCGATCAGTAGTTCTCTTTACGCGGCCCAACTCATCGTTTCGAAGGGAAAAAGTTTATATTTCGCCAAACCCCATCCCTGAAAGAACATAAATGAGTGCCACATTCTATTGCGTCTATAAATTTATATGTTTGTGCAGACATACAAATATAGGGAGGGACAACTGGGACCTGAAAGTGGCTGGACACAAACCTAATTGGCTACAAAAACAAATGAATTCCAATGATCGAATAAAATCACAGCATAGATGAACATTTCCCTTCATTGAGAGACATTTAGTTGAGATGGTTTATCTGGTTGATATTAAATCACCTCTTGTAGTGTTGTATGGGTATTCAAATGCGTTTACTAAATTTGTTGAAGTCTTATTTTATCTTAACAAGTACTTGTATGATCAGATTGTGTATAGTGCTAATATAGTTCTTATAATCTGTGTCTTGCCATTGCATTATTCAAAACTATCAAAGCGACTAACTGTTTTAGATGTTTTAAAGATAAAGGGAACTATGTGTATGAAGTTTTAGATGTTATTGAACCAAAAGTAATTCCAAACAGTGTGTTCGTCTTTTTTTAGATTTTTTGCAACATTCTTTATATCAGACTGTAATGACTCATACAAACTGTAATTAATATGACAGGCTGATACAAAAAACTATTTTCTGACCTTATCTGACCTTTATATCTTTAACTGTAACATTCATAGTCATATAGTATACTTTTCTATATAAGTAATCCTAACCTTTCCCTTACGTACGTTCATGTGTATGTATGTATTTTTTAAATGGCCGTTTGCCTAAATTAAGATTTTCGTACATCAGCTTGGTTATGGAGTTGATGTAAAGCCAACCCCTAAGCTTTACGCTTATTTTTTTTGTTTACCAAAATCATCCATCTGAGCTATAAATCTTTTTTCATCTCAAAATTCATTTTTACTACATCTGTCTACTTGTGTATAAATGTCTCAAATTTTCCAAGCACATTTTGTATTTGACTTTTGTTACCCCACTATTGCACAACAGCGTTAGGCCAAGTGTAATATGCCAAACTAACTGGGTAATCATATATTATCATCGTTGCAATTCATGGAGCTAATAACATTCATCAATTTAAATGTAATTAACAATCATCGTTAATAAGTTATTTCTGTTTCAGGTCAAGTGGAAATCGAAATGCTGCTAGCTGAGTATTTTCACTTATTTGATTCAAATGTTTTAATAACGCATTGTTAATCGTAATCTCACAAAACGTATACTCTATCAGACATTAATTACATTAAATACTTAGTGATTGATCATGAACCAACATCTTGACTTCGTCATTCATATCTACTGTTTACATTCATTATCAACTTTGTAGTTAGCAGGATGAGTCGTTGTGCATCAACTTGGGTAAACTTAACTTCCTGTGGTTTATCACTAATGACATACTAGTGATACCTCGTGTGTTTTTTTACTTCTTCATACAAATTCAAAGTGAAGTTTGGGTCAGCACTAGGATAACTTTGAGTAGATTGGTTCCTTTACATTAATTTCATTTGAATACAATGAGGATTTCCAGTAATTTCTGAAGAGATGAGCTTGAAGTTAAGAATAATACGAATTGAAGCAAACAATCTAAGATGAACAAACAACACCAATCCAAAACTTATCAATGGTCGACAACATCTGTATGACATGTCCATTGACTAATTTTCAGTGCTTGTTATAAACTCGGAGAGTACCTTGTATGATTGTTGCAAAATAACTGTAGATCCTTATCACTGTTATTAGCTTATTGAAATTTCTTCTGATTGGCGTTTTTTATCAAAGTTTTCCTCCCTGCTCAACCCTCTGCCTCTATCCGAGCTTGGGACCGGCAGTACCCTTAGAAGACCTGCAGGAACTGGGAATTAGAGGTAGACATCAAAAGGAATGAATAGCACTTGGAAACAACTTGAAAGGAGAGATCAAGACAGTTGATTGGAGAATCCTGGTCGGCCTATCCCCCACTAGAGGTAACAGGGAGTAAGTAAGTAAGCTTTTTGAGATAACAATAAAAGTTTGACTGCATAAGCACTTACCTACTTTACTTACATTCCCTGTTTTTATCCTGAACTTATCTCGGGTTTATTACATCAACCTAATTCTGGAACAGGTATAATAACCAACCAAAGTATTCACCATTCACTCAACAGAAATTCAACTGTCATAAATTTTTAAGCAGAAACTACAAATAACAGATAATCACTTCCCAGATGTTACAGACATTCACAAAGCTAATTCACTGAACATTATATGACAACTATCGACAAGAATCTATTCTAAAAATGAACTGTAAACGTCCACTTCAAACAATATTTATTGAAACGCAATCAAGAAGTTATTCTTTAATAGGTATGCGAAAAATAAAAAATTCTTACCCCCATATTTTTATACTCTGGTTTTCCATCAATAGTTTTCATATTTTGAATTCTAGTCTTAGCAATATCAATCGGTAAAGAGAAAACAGATGTAGTAAAACCACTTAATAAGCTAGCCATTATGTGTACATTCAAGCCATCAGTGAAATGACCTAGAGAAAAGTAAAAGAATTCCAAAACATGGATAAATTTACTTGATGGGCATAACCTATTATATAACAGATAACATGATATGGACTTATTACATGAAACTGCAATCATGATGACGATGATGTAGAAGACTTGGGTCAAAATTATGTGTTTGTTGACATTCATTCTACCAAGAATATTTAAATTGTTTAAAGATTGTCATCCTATTAAAAATTCGATTGTACTATTATTTCTCTCACCCTATCTGACGCATATTTATTCGGATCATGGATCTTAGAATGTAACTTAACATACAAGCCGATTCAAGTTAATATTCCATATGAGTCCCATCAACATTAACAATTTTATCCTATTTTGTTAGTCTTTTAATATTTGAATTCACTAACTGTTGTCGTCCTCACCAAACTGAAACATATAGCTAATGTTTACATATACAGAAGTGGAATTTATCACACAGTTGATAGAAATACTATTATGAGTTAAAATAAATGTGAAATCGAAATCAGACATGACGCTTCCTGGTGAAGTTTTCTCAGGAAATAAATCCTGAAAGTAAGATACCGAAAATCATATTGAGATATAGCTTATTGATAAGTTCGAATGATTTAATTCCATCAGTTACTTTACTAGTAAACTTTCGTTAATTTAAGACAGAGGACACAGTGATTACCGATAGGAAATACTTTTCTAAAATATAATAATTTCCGAAGCACAACCGATCAATAACAACGTTTCTGATATCGAAGTGGAGTTTCTTACTTCAACTTTAAAAAAAGAATTTAGTGAATCATGTACTAACCCTGCAATATTCTTCGAACATAGATCGAGCCAAAAACGTAACTAATAAAAGAGTTTAGTCGAATGAGTTCACTGAATGGCTTGATCAAGACTGTTTCATACAGTAGTAGTTTATACATTGATTAGTGGATTATAAATTAATCATTTGTATTTGTATTAGATTTCAACATCAAACATCATAATGGAATGAAAACTAAATATTTTTTAAAATATTTATTGAAAAATTAGCTCTAACTTACCGACTTCAAGAAGTTTTTGTTTGGCTTGAGAATAAGTAGCTAATTGTGCACCATTAACTACAGCTGCTCGACCCATAGTTGGGACTGCACCCTACAAAGTAAAATTATACAGGGAAATACACATATGCTTCTTCCGAATAAAAAAACATTCAAGTGACGATTCATTGGATTATAGGATATGACTTATTCAGTAGTTGGATTTAGGATAACTGACAGGATGTGTACTACCGATTAACTAGTGAAACAATGAAGTGGTTATGAAAATATTGAGCGAAAGCATTATTTTAACATTTGGCTTAAAATAATTTCTATTGCGATATAACACATACTTTTTTATTTAATTTTGTTTCTTGACTGTTGAGTATTAACATATACTTGAAGAAACTTGATATCTATCATGCATCAGTTTAGAGTTGTAAAGATCGTTGAGTTTCATTGAAATCATGAACCGATCTAATTTGAAACACTATTGAAAACTTGGAAGCACTGGAAGGCCGCTTCGTCTTAGTATTGGAGTCCTCAGAAGTGCGCATTCATGACTCCGTGGGTGGGAAACGAACCCAGGACCTTCAATCTTGCGAGCAAACGCTTATCCTATAGACCAATGAGCCAACATCCAACAGTGTTAATGTCTAGCTCGTAGATGTTCACTGCTCAGGTGTCCCATACTAGGACGGGACGGCCATTCAGTGCTTCCAGGTTTTCAATGGTGGTCTAGCACAGATGGGTTCATGATTTCAGTGACAAATCATTTACTTTCACAGAATAGGTTTGACCAATGTATATGAACTTGAAGATTGTAAAATAAAACGTATACTCTGATAATATTGAAGCTGAACAGGTTATAAATATTGGTGCTTTAGTTTGGTAATTTCCAAAATGTGAATTGGACAAACACTGATATCATTTTTATGTGTGATTTTTATTCATTATTAAGTAAAGCTAAACGAAAGACATTAGAAATCATCAAAATGAACATTTCATTTAGAGGGTGAATTCCCTCCAATAAACAAATATACAATACAAACGAAAATTCAGAAGCGCTAGGTACCTAAGAGAATTACCGTACATTTTAGTTAATTTCAACGTTTATATGCATAAATTATCCACCACAAACTTGATGGAAATGTAATTACGAACAAAAAGTAACAATTTTTATAGGATAAATGGGATGTATCTAACAGTGGGATCTAGGAAGAGCGTTTCGTCCTATTTGGGACTAGTTAGCTGGCTGTACCTGAATTACAGAATTAATGTTCACTTCAGGACGCCAAAACGGTACCTTTCGCTCCAGTGGCCTAATCCGTTATCCAGATACTTGCTAGCTTGTGACAAACTAAAGCTTATCAAAATTCAGTCAAAAATATCAACGATAAGATAATCTAAACTATTATGAACTAAATTAAGTGGGAATTCCTTTGCTATTACTACTTCATGTTGAAATGGAGCTGAAACAAGATATTGATACTAATTTGTTAATCTACGCATTAAAAAAAACATAAGTTCAGTGGATAAGAATGAAAAGTGGGAAAGATTAAAGTAAGAGTAACATAAAATATGATTTGAAGAATGAAATTAAGAGAGATGACCGGCACTCGTTGGCAAGATCCACCTGCAACCTCGAGAAAACTGATTCGTGCTTCGCGATTCTAAACCACGTCAAGCACCCTCACAGGTTGAGATGTTACCACTAAGTTGAATGATAAAGGTTTGGGTCCCACAGGGGAACATGAACTATCTCAAGATTACAGGTGCACCTAAGGTATGCTTAATTGCTAATATACTACCTCATATATACTGAATATTTGGAAGTTGTAAGGACGCGAATTGATGTAAACTTGAAAACTTGTACATCAGTAGTTAGCTCGGGAGATTATCATCACATTAAACAAACCCCCATAAAAAGATCACATTTTGCAAGATTTTATATGATAATATTTTGATTATTTACAATAATAGAAAAACGTGCACGCTTCCTACACTTCACATGATAGTGTCAGATGAGTGAAAATGAGATAACTAAACATGACCTATTAAATTCCGGTTCATTGTTCAATCTATCCTTTTTTTCATTTGTCTACATTGATTATCTACATTCAATAAAAGAACAACCGGTCACATTCAATTCGACTGTTAACTTTATTGATTTGTTTTATTGACATACATAGTTATTGACAAACCCAATCGGAATTCATGAGGTCATTGTGTGGCGTGATAAGTTTAAAGCGTAAATCTAATTCAACATTATCATTCTCTTTGAATATAATATCAAGTATTTACACTAGACATTCTTTTTGAAAAGATGTCATGAAAGTCAGATATTATTTAATGGCTTGTAGCGATTATTAACCGTAGTCTTTTTTTTTAAATGTGTCATTTGTTATCTATAGCATTTTACTTTTCTTGTGGCATCGGCAGATTTTCTGCATAAACCTTTTCATCGGAAGTTATCAAAATTTTACAATACACAAATTGACTATCGTCTTATTACAAGTTCAAAAATTTATGATATATAACAGAAATAAATATATTTGGCGAAACGTTTGAATATACCTAAGCTTATGAATTCGCAGAAATGGTGAACAATAAGATCAACTAAACTATCGTTGTCGTCCATAATTATGTGTAATTGGTTTATGAAGTACAGGTTTATGCGCTAGGTTTTGAGAGATTTATATGAGTTACTAATATTAACTGGTTGTTCATACCAAAGTAGGTGAGGTGGGATTCGAACCTGTGGTCTAATAGTTGGAAACTGAGTACTTTATCCATCAAACCATCGTTCATTTATGATTGAAAATCGGACGAAATAAATTATATATAAGGACTATTTATTGTCAGAGATTAGAAATGTGGTGACTCAAAATTCCCATATAGTATCTATTTATCTTCGCTGTCAATCTTACCGTATCACTATTAAATTTACTATATTTTTTTTACCCAGCCATACGTAACGTAGAATTTGACATGTAAGTGAATCGGTTTAAGTTGTCATACCACTTTAGTACAGCCAGATAACATTATTTCAAAACGAACCGCAGAGTAGTAGAAGTGGCAACAGTATCATCAGGTAGTAGAATATTTTGGGACTCGGGTTCCGAAGGAAGACAAGGAGCAAAATTCACACCTACTACTGTGAGCGGTTCTGAGCCATGTCGCCCCAAGCCTCTAACCACTGATCACAATAACCGCTCAGACCTCAACCAGGTAGTCTACATTTACTAGCATGGCATAGTTCAATTGTCAGTTACTTCATGAACTGGTTCTACATCTTGGTTTGGCGGCCCTTAACTTTCTTCAAACATCCTACGACGCCAAACAGTGGCTGGGGATACGTAATACATGTCCCAACAACCTCAGTTAGTGAAGATTCAACAAACCATCAGTGAATTTAACATATTTACCTAGTAACTCGCCTCTGACCTGAACATTGATAACTCGGTCGTTCAAACAAATATGAGCGATGCTTTGAAGATACCTATGATCAAATACTATCAACTTAAAAATATCCATTATTCTTAATGGCCTCGTAGTTAAGGCCTTCGGCTTTTAACCATTAAGTTCCTGGTTTGAACCCCACTTCATTTACTTCGGTTTGGGAAACCGGGTAGAACCATTAGCCCTAACATAGAGTGTGGCTCATATGCAAGTATCTGGCAACGGAATTCGTTCTTATTTGCTTAATGACCATGTTTCATATCCATAAAGCAGAACATAAAGAAATGCGCAGCAACCTCGTCTTGGTTAGTATACGAATATCTCGTCTACGCCACAAGTCATGTGAGTTGGCAAGGTCCAATCGAGTTTTCTGAATCCGTGCCGAGATTTTGATAGGCACCAGCCCATCAGGACGGATGAAACGGTGAGGTGGTCAATGAACTCAACCATTTCTATTTTCTAGGACAATGTCGAAGACCAAGGTATTTTAGTGATAGGATACAAGGGCTATGTGGACTGTGTACACTAATTAACAATGATGTATGCATCCGATTCACACCCTTTGGCTTTTTTGAGACTTCAAGGTTCTGACGCCTGATTGGACAAGCTCCCAGTATAATTCATTAGTACAGTAGACTTTAAGAAAAAAAACTCTAGCCTGATTTATTTAGAATTATTCGGACTCGTAGGTCTCAATTTTTAGTGTCAGAAGGCTTGATTTTTTGAGAATAGTCTTAATAAGTTAAATGGTGAAATTTAAGCAAGCTTAAATGAATCGAATACGTAAAATATTTTCATAATCATTCGGTTATATACAAATACCTTACAATATATATATATACATATATTACTGCAAATATTTTTAAAAAAAGATATAATATTAATACCAGGTTAGTTTACTTACCCGCCACAATGTCAACACTCCTTCTTCGCGAGCGATTCTTATTAGAGCATTGAACACATTGGAATAATTTAGACGTTCTGCTGGTGGTAATCTTATGAATTAAAATATTCACAAACAAAAAAGCTAGTTATTAAAACGATTTGGGGTTAGAAAATTGGATTGTTTTTAGCAAACTCTAAATTTAACAGATAGGTTACTAATGTAAATAAGATTAACTTCGTAGTGTTCTGGTGAGTGTTCATGAGGAGCGAAAACATAAATCGCCGATTTTTTTGGTTTATGAATAATGATCGAATTTCTAAACCGTCAATTTACTACTTGTGATAAAACGCATGGTATTAAATTTTAGAAGTGAAATAAGAAAGTTTTATGAAATAGCTCTAACATTTTAATTTTACTAATACAATTTTCTTCATGATTGTGGACATACGTATATTGAAGGTGAAATATATGTGTGGATTAGGTTTTAAATTACAGATATTATTGCAGCCTGACCCTCCTGTAAGAGAATCATTAACTGAACATGAAATTTTACTACCTCTTCGAGTATGATTAAGTTGACAAGTGCTAAATATGACTAAAATAACACAAAGAACCAATCCATGAAAGTCATAACTATTTCTCTAAGCCATGTATGTTAGTTAGAATAACCATAATGTTATGAATCAATGATCTAGGAGCTGAGAAAAAAAGGTTCAAAATCAATCGCATGTGCGCAGACTGTCACCATGCTTAATCATATCTTCTCCCCTAATTTTTTAAGGATTATCTCCTCAGTTTCTATCTGTGTATTGTTGAGATATGGTTGTTTAGATTTTACATTGTCAACTATGTCTGTTATGATCGAAATAATTTACGATTAATCGAAGATGATGAGTTGTGTGAATAGCAAGTTAGTAACCCGACACTTGAGACATATGTTCCTTGATCCAAGTTGGCAGTCGGCTTTGGATCATACCGTTTGTATGAATATTAATGATACTATCTGGTTGCCAAACAAAAGTAGGTGGGAGTGGGGTTCGAACACCCAACCTAGTAATTGTAAGTCGAGCTTCTAAACAATACACCACTGCTAATAACACTCCAGTGAACTTCAAGGTACTATACGTTACAGAGGCCCAGGACGAAACATGATCATTGATTTACTCTAATATGAAAACAAACCACGACCTACATATAAAAAGATATATTCGCAAGATTTCGAGACTATGGAGAACAATTGTAGCTCCGGAGAGCGATTTTGGTAAAAATATGTTTTATAGGTTGAATGGTTTAGGAGTGAAGCTTTCGTTATCTTTCCAAACAACACCATCAGCAAAAAAAGTCAAATCCAAGTGAGGCATTCAAACTTATTCACATATAACTAACAGGCTTGCTCAGCCGGCATTGATTTTGATTAGATGGTGTTAACACTTGATTTATCATCGCTTTCCCTTTGATTATTGATCTTATAATTGTTCATGATTTTTCTAATTAGTTAATAAGTTGGATCGATTTTGATAAGTTTACTGATTGATAGTTTACCTGAGTGCCAAGTTTCTAAAAATTCCCCGATATTCTTTGTATTCCCCCTGTCCAACATATCAAAACTTTCCCAACTGAACATTCACACACAATTGTCTCAGTGAGTTGATATAAGTGAATATAAATCGTGGTGTTTGACAGCTAGTTAGTGGGCATCAAGAGGCCTCTTTCCTTTTTCGTTTGCATTAAACAAAATGTGACTGTTTGTAAAGGTTGTTTAAACTACGTGGTCAGTTAGGCATTCATTTCTACGGAGTGCAGTAGGACTTAGTAATATGTCAAAAACTTCAGCGATTCACCTTTCCTGATAGGTTGGAAAACCTTTTTGAATTGTTCTTGCACCTTTAATATCGATTTGATAGTTGTTGAAAATACTGTTCCTGATGATTTAACTTGTAGATTCCCGAGTTCCACATGATTATCAGGTTGTTATACAGCTTAGATGTTTTTTCGGTACGAATCAAGATTTCACGTGAAGACCCTCCAATATAGATACAATCAAATTTGTAAACATAATTCTGTGTAGCAGCAAACAGGATTCTACCTTTATTTCGAACATTTAGATGAGTATTAGTTGTGTTTTACAATGCATCAGTTTTGTGTTACCTTAAGATTCATCGCAGTTCATTTGTTGTATCAAACAATGAATCTTCTTTTAATATTTATAGGATAATTATTGAATCCTAATTTTATTATAAACAGTCCATCCAATTGTTAAACCCTGGTAATGATACCTATAAAACCTATGTATTTTTAAATTACATTACGTTACAAAAGCAAGTTAAGAAGAATGTAACACACATACGTTTATATTATTACCTGCCATCAGATGTCATACGGATAAGACAAATTTCGGCTGGTGTACCAATGAATGCACCGCATATCCCAGCAGTTACAGCTATACTTATTTTAGTGAAGAAATTGGGAGATTCTTTTTTACGCTTTGTATATTGTTCAAATAAATTTGTGTAAATGCCTAAACGAGCAGTTGAGTAGGTGGCTTGACGAAGTAATCCAGCTGATAAACTAAAAGAACAGTTAATTTTTATTCGTTTATTCAGTATTTTTGCTATAAATTATTCAGCTAGAAAATATTGATAGTATTTAAGTGGCAAATAATATTGTAGTATAGCTAACACTAACCATAGGATCATGTAATTTTATGATTAGTACCTAGACTATGGTAACCATCTATCTAAGGTAGATAAATCTAGCACGATAACTTTATGAAAGACGTGAACTTCAAATGTACTCCATGTTATAAATGAATGCAAAACTAAGTAGTGATCCAATTTAGCAACAAAACCAAAGTTTGAATGCTAACTCATTTGCTTACAACCACGTTTTAGGGGCTATAATAGTTGGCTTAAAAATCAACAAACCGTAGTTTCACTGTTTAGGTGGGTAATTGTTTCTTCTCTATGGACAGATGGTGGTTGAATTATCTTGTCCGGTGCTATATAGCTAAACCACCAGATAATGCATAGGAATACATACATAAAGATGTTTGTACAGGTTAGCTTAGGTTGATTTTCGTCACAGATGAATACTAATTGAAGAACGATTAGAAACTAGGTAGTACTGAATTTGTTTTACTCTAGCACCTGACACCAATGGTCCACATTTTAAACTTCAATTAATACATAATACAGTGTGATACTATATATCAGAGGAGAATAGGGGCCATATTTATCCCCATTTCGGTATTTTAGTAAAAATCCATACTGTATTATTAGTATTAACTTGGGGAAATTACTTTTTCCCATTTAGCCTTCTTTCAGAGTTCGGTATCATTTTGCAAACATAATTTTAATAAAAGGGTCACAGAAACAGCTAAATACTAGTGAATTCAGTCAAGCACTTAACAATAATCACCAGACAGTTTATTTATAGATCAGTCTAATTCAGCTTCATGCTTCAGAACCGCATAATTAATAACTTGAAATTTAGTTAGGTACTTATGAAATAAGAATCAATAAATTCTGGAAATAAACTAACCCTGAGTATATCGCAAAAAATCCTTCATTTTTAATGACTGACAGAAGTACTTGAAGACTGTTACGTTGACCAGAAGTAGCACTTCCGATACCTGTGAATTTAACAACAGAGTTAAATTGAAAAATATGTAAATAAATCCTTGACAATGATAAAGTGCACCGGATCATAACAATCGATTTGCAGCCATTCAAACGATTATATTTGATAAATTAAATGGATGTAATATGCATACCGAATGAGTTTACGGAAAGTTATTTAATTGTGATTATTTCCTGCCTAAGATATTTTCTAACATCCAGTCACAGTATCATGTTAAACAGATTTTAAGTAAATATTTTGTAATATGGATACTTTTTAACCTGAAGAAAGACTATTGATGTTGAGTGAACAGATAATATCGTTTTACTGTAAAATAGCGTGCAGGCTACTAAAAGTGCATTCGACTATTTGTTGGACAGTACTGTATTTAATTTGAATTACAAACTTATGAGATACTCTCACAATACTAGTAAAAGTCTGTGCCTGAACACTCACTTTGTGGTGATTTACTGGAAACAATCGACTAGTTTGTGTATTCGAGTAGCTGTGACAGGTGATGATACGGATTATATGGATCTAAAAACATACCTAATTCCATAGAAATCCTCAGATTTTGACGAATTTTGTTTCAAGTGGATACTTGAGGGCTGATTAGTTGTATTCTGAAGTTCCTAAGAAGTAAGGATTCGTGGATAAGGTTAGGGGCCCCCGGGTTTGTAGTTTTGCAGCAAACCAGAGGAAAATATCAAGAAAAGATGGATGTCACTCGTTGTTTTAATAACAAACGTTGCTTTAAAATGTCATAAATATCTAATCATTTGGTAAAAAAAGAAAAAATAAACTTAGCTAATTAAGTATAGAAATGTCTCAGATGACTAAATGAGTGGGACTTAATAAATAGGTAGTCAATAAGTCGATCATACTTCTAGATAGAATTATGAAGCTATTATATTCTTCCTATTCCCATAAAACTGAATTATACCTGGAATTAATTAGTTAATATGATATAGATAGAATAGAATAAGTTCAGGTCTATTTATTAATTAATAGTTGCCATCGGACAGCTAGCTGTATTCCATCTCTCCTATTAATACTGTTTGGATTAGCCCATATATGTAGGGCTTCGGCTGTTAATCTTTCTTTGTGAGAATTAAAGCCTTTTTGAAGGATTCTTGTGCCACTGAAATCAATTGTATGACCCGATTCTAGCAAGTGTGATGCTATCGCTGATTTGTTATCGAGTTTTCGTACCTCAACTGAAGATTTAGGGATGTGCTTTAAGCATAGTTTGTATTCCTTCACCCTCACATTCAGTTGCCTTGATGTCTTACACATTCGTTTCATTAAGGTCACTACATTTGATTCCATAAACTCAACTCTGTTGTTCTTCCTTGTGTATTTGATCTTTAATTCTTACTAGTTTTATATCTTGGAGTATTGTTTGTCCGAAAGAATACTCTTATATTTTGAAGAGCTAGAATCCTTCTGATCACTTCCGAAATACCTTTACGATATGGGGTCACCACTGTGTTAATCTTTTTGCTTGACTTTTTTTAGTAATATCGTTTTTTTCTTCATCCTTAATTATTCTTTTAATAAAATCCTTCGGATAATTATTCATCATTAGAGTGGATATAATTAAATTCATTCCCATTTCTCTATCATTTGGTTCAGTGACAAGATTTTTAACTCTGGAGATCAAATTTTTGGCTACTGTCACTTTGGTAGAGTGTGGATACGCTGACTTAAAATCTAGAAATTTACCTGAATATGTCGGCTTTCGGAAAATACTAATTTTTGAACAATCATTATATTTCCTTTCAACTAAGCAGTCTAGAAAAGGTAATTAGCGTTCAAGAGATTCCAACTCCTTAGTGAACTTGATTTTGTCGTAAATGTTGTTGACATGTTTAAATAGTTCGTCTAAACCATCTCGTTTTATAATGACAAAAGTGTCATCTACGTATCTTAACCAAATTTTCGGTGGAATGGAACACATTGAGATAGCACTTTTTTCCAATGAATGCATGAATAAGTTAGCAACAATTGGAGAAACTGGTGATCCCGTAGCTATACCTTCTGTTTGTCTGTACAAATCTCCTCGAAAACTGAAAACAGTTGAACATAAACATAGATCCAACGCTTTAACAATGTCTGAAGGATCTAGAGGACAACGTTGGTTAAGTTCAGTGTCAGAATCTAAGAGATTATGTACAATATCTAAAGCTTTATTAACAGGAACATTAGTGAACAATGAGCAAACATCAAAACCTGCCATTATTTCATCCTCTTCTATGGGGATATTATTGATAATATTTTTGAAATCGTTAGAATTTTTTTGTTATTCCATATTTGATTACGCTTTCATATGGTTTAAGAATTTTGGCCAGGTATCTAGAAAGACTATAGGTAGATGAATTTATGTAATCAACCACAGGTCTTAGTGGGATGTCTGTTTTGTGTATTTTCGGTAGCGCATATAAAGAAGGCCATAAAGATGGTCCTAGTTTCGATTTTAACTTCTGTACCATTTTCGCCGTTTCAGCTTTCAACTTATTTAAAGTGGCTCTACATTTGTTCTTCATGATTTTTTCATAGGGTCCATTGTGGAGATGTTCATTGACTTTTCTTTCATAATCAGAATTATTCATAACAACAGTGGTGTTTCCGTTGTCTGCTTTCATAATAACTATTCTCCTCTCTTTACGTAGCTGTTTTAGAGCATACATTTCTTTCGACCGGGTAAGTTGTGAGATAGTAACTCATTGATGACAATGTTGGATGTGTCGCTCAATTTCGTAGATTAGTTGAAGTTGGACATTAACACCGTTGGATGCCGACCGGCTCTGTGGTCTAGTGGTTAAGCGCCTGCGTGCCAGACTGGTAGGCCCTGGGTTCGAATCCCACGAGGTGGGGTCGTGGATGCGCACTGCTGAGAAGTCCTACAGTAGGGCGAAACGGCTGTCCAGTGTTTCCAGGTTTTCTATGGTGGTCAAGCTTCAGTCGACTCCTTCATCTTTGAATTCATTCTTTTATCTCGTTTATTTATCTTCATTTAATGCATGCTGTGACATTTTTGATTCATATCATATGTAAAAATTATATGTTTTCTTAATATTCACCAACCGAAGACAATATATAGTGAATTTTTTCTTCTCACTTACGTATACACACAATCTGTTATCTTAACACTTTTCGTTTCACACCATATGTCTCTTACACACTAATGTAAATACCTACTTTGAACATTGTTAACGTTGATTGGATTACTTATTCAGTATACAGTAAACCGGAGAACCATGTACCTATTTATATTAGATAATTTTGATGCTTGATTATATTTCCTTGAAAAAGCTTGCACTAGACTACCAGACGAAACGTTGAATTTACTTCAAATTCTTGCTCTGAGATTTTATAAATACATTCTTCCTCTTTAATGTCTCACATTAACTCGGCGCCCGAATACTGTGGAACTATTTGATCAAATTTAGACGAAAGTTACTATTTATATAAAACAAGAGTATTCGAAAACCCAAAAAGCTGTCTCACCGCTCATTTGCATCCTGTTTTTCACGAGGTCCAAAGGTTGAACGCAAACAGAGGCACACATTCTGCAAATTCAAGTAGTGGAAACTGAGACTCAAACTGATACTGATGATATTCATTTTAATGATAAATAATCAAAATCTATGGTACAAGATCAAGGTTGGTACAGTAAGTCATTGTCAGCAAAGAACAAGGGTGGGTGATGGTCATATAGCGCAACAACAAGCTGAGGTCGAAATTATGAGGAAGATGAAATATACTATATTTACAAGGTACATATTTGAAATTAATAAAAGAAAAACTGAACGTGAAAATAACAACTGGATGAACTGTTGCTACCCAGATGTGAATGTGATTAACAAGTCGGAATCAATGCATTTTATTTATCACAGTTTACCATCTAAATGCATCCTATAAACAATAGCTTAAACAATAAGTGTTGTAACTCATCCCAGTACACGTTATAACTGAATGTTGAGTTTTAAAATATATTCTCATAAAGCCAATGAGACTAAGTTCATGCGTGTTCAAATACCATATTTTGAGTGTATTAGATACTTAAAAATTAACGATATTACTTGGTTATCAGACAGGAAGTTGCAAAACCCATTTGAACCTATGACCTTATAATCAATAATCCAGTACAAAAACTAATGATCATGAACGTGAATCCAATATGACAGAAACATTTGCAAATTAAAACACAAAAATAACAAGGCTACACATTTCAACTACTGTTTATAACTGGAGAACTATACACATTCCTAAGCTAAAGCCAATAATATATATTGAGCGAGGGAGGAATGAAACAATTATTACACCATAGTGAATGTAAATGGTTGTAAAATAGATGATAATGATCGATGACAACGTTTAACTTGGAAAATCATCACTTTCAATCAACTAGAATATCACTAATAATTTTGAATTTTGATCAAAACAAATATACGATATTCGTACTCTTGAAATACACTTATGTGGTGTTTGTATGAACTAACGATTCCTTTGTACTTGTTGAATGCCTAATTTCGAATTCCAAATACAGTACATTCTTTCGTGGTTATATAGTACATCTTGATCAAATCGCGTTATTTCTGGGATTCATAGTTCGTACCATAATTCAAATACTCTTAATTATCACATTGGCGTCGCGATGGAGCCTGTGATAGAACGGTTAAACATACATTCAGATTTTTATGCTCTTGAAGACTACTTGGAAAGGTTTGAAATCTGGGCTATGACCGAGGAAGATGTTGAGGATGTTAATATTGTAGCATATTTCCTCACATTCATCGGAAAAAAGCTTACAGCTTACTAAAAACTCTGGCTTTACCAGAAAAGCCTGTTTTTCTTCCTTATGCGACTCTCAAGGAACTACTGCTAGACTATGTTAGGTATAGAAATTTCGAATGCGGTAAAGGAGGAAGATTTCGTAAAATGATTCATATGGACATCAAAAATTCCACTACATTACTACGTCATCCCAATCCAGTGCGTAGTCAAGGTAATGCAGATAATTCATTGAATTGCGATGCAGTTCACGAAGATAGGCATAAGTTTGGTCATTGTTTGTCCTGTGGCAGGTTTCACTCATTTAATTCATGTATATTTCATAATTTTAAATGCTTTACATATGGTGAGATTGGACACATTCAGTCAGTTTATCATATTACGGTTCATTCCGCTACAACTAATGCTTAAATTTGTAATTGTGATCCCATTAAGTTGGGTGTTCCTAACGATCATATATCTTTATCCACGACTTCGAAAAGCAGTATAGAGTCACATAGCATACCAGAGTTAAATGAAACTCAGAATCCTTGTGAAGCAACAGTTTCTAATCAATCAACTTATCAAATTTCTCATGTTATTGTACCAGATATGGTTTTTCCTAATAATTCATATATTTCTGGTGAAATTTCTTACAAACTTGAGAAAAATATGTTGAGTGAAGCTAATCATGATCAAAAACCTGATGTAGTTTTGATAGATGGTGATTTTTCCAATGATCCTTTGCTCTGCAATGACATACGTATTTCAGAAGAGTCAAATCTTGATGTCATATCAAATATTATTTGTCCTCATAATGCATTCGTTTCTTGTGGGAAACTTGTTCAGTGTGAAGCACGAGTACTAAATGAGCTTGATTTTGATTACAATTCAGATGATTCCATATTAACTATTGTTTATCGTCATCACGAAGTCACTTCTCATGTTTGCTCGTCAGTGTAAGAAATGTTTTAAATGAAGCCACATAGTTCATAACCGACACAGTGATTGTATAAAATTCCAAAAACCAAATAAGTCTTCCGATTTCGGCTGTTAATTCTAATACTAATGAATACATTCTAGATAGTGCGGAGTCTTTATCCAGTACACTGTCGGACAGACACAAGATCAACTTAAAAAGAAGACGTACAATCGATTACAGACAATTAGACTCCAGTTTAAGCTATGGCGGATATGGTGTTTGTATGAACTAACGATTCCTTTGTACTTGTTGAATGCTTAATTTCGGATTCCAAATACAGTACATTCGTTCGTGGTTATATAGTACTTCTTGATCCAATTGCATTATTTCTGGGATTCTTAGTTTGTACTATAATTCAAATACTTCTAATTATCACAACTTAAAACAGAATCACTTCACAAGATAAATGTTTATGACCATAACAAAAAATTGAAACCATTGCAGGTCACAACAATGAGACAGAAAATATGGAGATAAAATGTATATAGAAAATAACTTATAAAGTTGTATATGATCAAATGGTAGAGTAACATAAAAGTATTCACATTTAACATACCCAGAAGTTCCACCCAATACAAACTTCATAGTAGCAGGTATCTCGGCCTTTTTTTCGGTCTGCATTGTTGAAAAATATGACTAGGTACTTTCTTTGAATGAATATATGGATATGGAATCAGTACAATTCACCGTAAACAGCCGATACTAAAAAGAAAATCACAGACGATTGAGAGAGAAAACACTGAATACAAAAGTAAAAACCTAAATAATTATCTCGCTAACTAATATCTACAACATCTGGTACAATTCGGCATCAAATATATAATGTGCCATACGATTTAAGAGATAAGATTGTGAAGAAACATAGAACAGGAGTGAAGCCAGAAGAAAACAAGAATAACATAATGTAAAATCGAATCTAATTAAAAACACAACCGACTTTTTATCAGAGTAGTTCCTCTGAAGCTTATGAGGAATGTAAGCGAAAAATAGAGCAGGATCACTATCGGCTCTCGATCCGAGATAAGTCTGGTAACACCTAAAGCCTCTGAATTGCATGATCTCTAGGATCCCAATCGAGAAGTCGTGACAGATCAACAGATGTCAGTATTATACAGCTTTTACTCTACAATGCCGTCATAATACATCCAAACCAGTGACAGCAGCGTTTAGGGGTGGTGGCACTAAGTAGACAATTGTCTCTTTACTGAACCTCATCATAACTAGCATTGACTTGAGAGGGAACTAAGCAAAACAACTGAATATTTTTCTCAGAATTAATCATCCACTTCACTACACAAACATGTATAAGGTTACAAAAGTATAATTCATGGATCATGGACCTCACTATCCACAAAAAAGAAGCTCTATCTGATGAAAACTATTTACGTATTACCGCTGACCACAATGAATCTGTAGTACAGATAGGGTAAGCTAACGGTTATCATGAAGGTAAGTCTTAGGAGCTTCGGAGAAACAATAAAAGCTGAAATAAACTAGAACTGGCCAATAATGTGTAGATCTCACGCTCCGAAAACCATTTAAATACTCCTGCGCACCACGTAGTTGACTAAAAATGATGAAATGTCGCAGTAAAAACTGTACGTATGTATTCCCGCATGGCTTTTCCGTGATATTTGTAGAAATTTGTTTAGGAGTATTGCGTCAAAACAAGTTTGCAAGTACTGTAATAACATTATAGTGGAAATTCGGGGAAAAGCGCAAAGATCAGAGTAAAGTCCGGGGAGAAACGCAAAATATCCCTGAAATTGTGAAAAGTTTTGGGGTTTTATTAATTAACATAAGCCGATTTCCCCAGTATTATAAGATTCTGGGGAAATTTCGGGGTTTTAGTGTTATTTCCCGAAGATTTTCCAAAAGTTTACTTGTTGGCTTCCCCAAAATGGGTCAAATTTTCTTAAAAATTGAAAGATTGAGTGGGGTTTCTTTACTTCAGAAAAAAAAACAGATGAAGTGATACATCAGATGTTATTCAACAGTTCAATGACCAGAAAAACTCAGTCATTAACTAGGCACTGATTTTTGAGTATATCAGTTCTAAATAAGTTTAATCAAGGGCAAGAAATTATCATTTTATAGTTTTTCGCATTAAATGCAACAACTCCTTCGTTTGGCAATCTGATGACTACTAGGACTAAATGACGATTACAATCCGGTGTGGTGAATTATAATTGTGATTTGCAGTTGATAGTTACGGTTAGAAAGTAGATTTAGTGTTTTAACCACGAACTGACAGCTAAAACGGATGAACGAATTTAGCGCCAAAACTCAAGGCGTATTATCGTATGTCTGATTGGTTCGTCATTAAATCGGTCTCACCGCCTCAATCAAGTTACGAAGATGATGACATCGTAATGATGCATGATATAGGAAGAATATCCAGTGTTATTATGCCGTCGCGTCAATTTACCAGTTTGGACAATTTTAGACCTGCCCGAAAGATGTACATATGATAATAGAACTTCCGTGATTGATAATTGCCTTTTTTAAATCACCACAGCAACCTAGGTAAAGTATGTGACGTCAGGCATCCATGCATGCTTCATTTCAAATGAATTTACCTTTTACATCAAAATATTGCTAATGCAAATCCGGATTTCGGGTCCGTGAAGTAAATGGTGAGCTGAAGTCCACCTCCATTAACACGTGCACAACCATCCTTGCACAGGAAGATATATTTCTGTAGATTCTTCGAAACGATAGTCGTCGAGAGAATGATTGCATTTTAAAGTCATTTTTTGAGTAATGCGCATGGCATTCGACATCTGATTTCTTAGAAGTTCATCAAGCAAATTGCCACGTATTATGTTCCCAAAACGCGGTTGCAGTTGTATCCAGGTTGTTAAACACGTATCCTAATTACCTGAGTTTGGACATTAAACATAACAGCGAGATTTCACAGCGCGCCCAGTCAAACATAAAAGTAGAAGTTTTCGAAGAAAATCTATCCATAACTATGATTTGCTTCAGTCACAGCGAGTAAATAGCTATCAACCACACGCTCCCAGAGGTGGTAGGTATTGACTCGACTCACCGGACCGAAAACGTTGAATAAGCGTTGAATAATAACGACTTTGTCTTGAAGCTCACCACTGTCCCAGCTAATCGTTACTGGGCAAGGGCACTCCGTTTTGTATACTCTTTTTAAGCAAGAACAGTCATGTAACCAGCCGTGTAGAACGCGCTCATAAACACTTCAGGAGATATCTCTTCTGTTAACATTCAGTAAGATCTGAAGTAATTAAGACACGGACCTACGTTTGACGCAATTAAAAGAATCTTCAGCGTCTCCTAAAGCTTGATGTAAGAAACTTAGTTCAAAGTATAATCGATTTAATGTCTCATGATCAGTCCAAACTTTGTTAAATGAGCTCACAGCTTTCGCGGCTGAAACTGTAGTTGTATATTATAAACAAGTTAGGAGGATGAGACACAAGTTAATAGCAGGAGAATACGCACGCTGCCATAACAAAGGCCTGACGGAGGTTTTTTGTACTTTGCATGCACGATGTGCTTGTGAAAGTTTCGGTTACCATATGCGGCCTTGTGGTTATATTTTATATGCATATTCCAAAGATCTAATTTGTGAAGATATGTGTTTCTTGGTCATTATAATCATAATTGATACATTTCAACATCGCACTACTTGGAAATGAAACAGTAGTTACTTTTCACCATTATTAGGCTAATTTCGCCGAGCATTTGTTTCCGTATACACGAACAAGATTGCGTAATTGACATCAATTGGCCTTATTATTCGGAAGAGCATTGACTCACGACTTTCATCGAAGATCGGAATCTTTATCTATTTTTCGATCTTAGTGGTTTGCTATATGCCAAATAACAGCCCTTTCCTCATTTTCACATCGGCTGGTATATTCATGTGATGAGTTTGAAATAGTTCTCCTTCACTTGAAAAATTAATAAGACTCAGATATTTATTACATATACCTATGATTATTAACGTAGATAAAGTATATATACTAACTGTTTGAATCTGATACATTTATTTATCAGACGAGTGAGTGATCGTAAGTTATTCAAGAGATACTCATATTACCAAAAAGTACTCGAATGAATGTAAAATTATTACATTACATTGGTAACTATTTAAAACATCATGAATTTAAAATTTTTATTGAGTGAGCGGCGCTAGATATCCAGTCACATTTTATGCGAATATTGCACTTGTTTTAGCTTGGTCAATGAAGGGAATCAACTACACGAAACTCCCAGGAATCTGCTAAAAATTTAAATAAACTTTTAGTTAAAAAATACAATGAACATATACATGAAAGTAGACAAATGTATATTAGTGTGCACATTTCTCGTTTTTTCGGCTGATCCTTGCTTTGTGATTCCTTGTATTATAGAGAAGGCGGTGTTCATAAATCTGATACTTGACTGTGAAATCTCGAAAATTCCAACGGTAAAGAAGCTAACCTGATTTGATCATTATTATTTCAAACAACTGTGACTTGTCTTTGATCATCAATACCATTATATATGTAGGGCCAGTGAAGTGTCACTGGACTCTAGCCAAATCATCCGACATTCGGGTTACTGAATGCCAAACAGTTCACAGATCCTCGTAAAGGTCAAGAACAACCAACGCGCATCAGTTGATTGCACGCCACGGACCAGCCCATGAAACTATGGTTGTATTTTTTTTCCGTGTACATATTACTATTAATATATCTCCATAATAACGTCGTTTGTGTTATAGAGCCATCAAAGCAGCCGTGATACCAGGATACGACGAAAGGGCAATCCACATTACGTACTAACGTCGAGTTGTGACTTCAACACTAGCTGGTTCGTCACAACATCTCTGACTACCCCGCAATCATTCGACAGATACCATCTACGCTACTGATCAACACGGGCTTGATTGAACAGTTTCCGACCGTCAATTTCAATGCAATTAGTGATTCTAATTTAAAAGTCATACATCATAGTGGGTTTCCTAAATCTCAGTTTGTAACAGTACTTATTCCTGCTACTGGCTATCTTTCTAAAAATATCAGTAACCTAAAAACTGAATCTTCATACGGAAAATAGTAACGATGAGAAGGTAAAATTTACAACTCAGTAGTAGTTACTGCCGGCCGAAGCAAATATATGGCCTTTAAGAACATAATATGGATTGATTTCTTTCTTAATAATCTATTTTCAACGTAAAAGTGAAAAAGACAGTAAAAATCAGCTGAGACTGCAGAAAATGGACGAAAAACCTATCACCTTACCAGGATGTTGTTGAGTGTTACGTTTCTGATCCAAAAATATTGTCCTCTCAAATTATGGTAACATATAGTAGTATGTACTATTCCACCTGATAATGTCCTGTTTCTGAATTCAGGTCAGTTATTTCCTTACCAATCTGAAGACTAGGAGTAGTGTGTTGCATTTAATAAGCAATATTGATTACTTGCCTTGATACACCTGCTCGTGGCAACGTCGGGTATATGATTCGCTACAACGTCTTTACAGAGCGTATGTAATAAATGTTCATTTAATCCACATCAAGCTTCCTACATGATCCAGTTTGCAGCAGATAGACTGTGGTGTGCATGAGTATCTCTTTTGAACCAGTAATCTTTTTCCATATGTGAACGTAAACGTCGCGTCAATTTTTCTGTAGATTAGGGTTGCAGGCTTTTTCTATCAATAACAACGTTGGCATTTCACTTTTTCCTATGTAAATGACCTCGACAACTGTTTATGTAAACATTAATAATACATTTTTCTCACCTAAATCACTATGTTGATCATTATTGAGTGCGTGTACAGCTTATTTGACCTGAAAAACATGTGATGATTTTTAAATGTATGGTTTAATGCCCAACACGCTTAAAATGAAAATTTAGGTAAACACTATTTGAGCTTAAAAAGGTGGAATAATAATAATAATATTACTCCGTATAGGGATATTTTAATAAGTCGCCGTAAGATCAGTGTTAATAGATTAACTTATAGGTCGAACATGTTTTGTGTTTAGAAATATTAAAAAACAATCAATATTATAGAAATCCTAATATTGGTCTCGTATTAAGGCCCAATGCCATGACAGGTTATCGGGTCATATCTGGAAAATCCTCTACGGTTCATCTGTCTGAAACAGACTTGATTGTTCAAAATTATAGACTGATAGTGTAAATTCAACTAGTTGACGATGTATTCTACTAATCAGTACATTATATCATTTTTCTAGCGTCTACTCTAGTGACAAGTATTATGTCCACTTCTTAAATGTTTAATTCTCAAGGTGAATCTTGCAACGTTTGTGAGGTTCTCCAACGAATTATGATGTCAAACATATTCTACGCGGACGGAGTTCCAGAATACGCATACTGAATTCACAAAGATAATTGATGTAAAAACGAATCAGTACATATTTCACGTGCCAAATACTAGCTATACAGTTACTTCAAGCGATTAATTTGATAGGTTATGTAAAGCGAAGTGTCGGTATATGGCGTAACGATTTGCTTTATAAGTCTCCCGTCCTACGAGTGTTGCTGGATTTCATAATGAGGTGTATGTTATGTCCCTAGATTCCTCATCAATTTGGGTACCAATATTTGGGTTAGGAGTCTAACATAAGAGTACTTCTTACCGCTAAGTGATATAGAATAGTATCTTCCAATATTGCATACAAACACTTATGTACTGACAGCTTCATGGCTACCGAAAACTCAAGAAGGTTATCTGAAGCCGGAAGAAGAGTCATCCGACGTACTTTTTTCTTGAGTAATAATTAATATTTCACCTCAAACGCTGGTGTTTCTTTGAGTATTACCCAAGTTAGATAGATCAGTTCGGACGGTATTTATTCATCAATTTAAGGATCTGACCCAAGAGGATAAAGTAAGGTAATGTGATAGACAATTCTGCTGAGGTCCTCCCATCATTAAAAAGATCTGCTTCGGCTCATAATTGTGTTGGTGTGTGCATCATGATATCGCGAGGCCTTATTTGTAATGAATAAATCGCATACGATTGCGTCCCTTATTAAATTTACGATATTATGTCTCGACGTTGATTTACTGTGACCTCTCTGATGTCAGTACTCTCATATTTAAAACCTTAGAGTTCACATTCATTCATAGTCCTTAGATCAAATTCAGTTCTGCTACATCTTTGAAATTTGTTATGACATTTTGAATGTTTGGAAGATTGTTAATAATATCGACATCCAGGAATACTGAATCGACTCCAATGCATTAAATCATAACATATATAC